GTCGGACGAGCAAGCCCGTTATTTCGAAAGCTATTTCGAAATAACGGGCACGCTGTCAAGACATGGATTAGCTATTGTGGGTTGCCGGAAGTATCCCAAAATAGCGCCGCTGTCTAGACGTGCCCCTAGAGATCTGTATTATGTGAGCTGACACCACCCCCTTGCCTGGATAATTTGTACCGCAGGGATGTTGAGATCCCAAAACTGTAAACCTTGGCTATGATGGAAACCACTTTAAGGCAGGGGGTGCAGCAGCCTCTCCACATCTCTAATTCCAGCACCGATGCCCTGGCCTTTTATTTCCCCCATCTCACGTGGTCCAAAATCTGGACGTCCACATGGAACTGCTTGTGTTGTTTGTTTCCATTTGCTTGGGTTGTCAAGATTTGCCTTCCTTAGAAACTACCTGATGGGAGATTGGGGAGCAGGAGCAGGGAGGAGATTAGCAGCATGCCTGACACATCCGCCACCAGCTTTCTTCAGTCGTTTTCCACGCGCATCAGGTTACCCACCTGCTCCATGGAGCTGCCATTCCAGCCCTTTCAGCTGGAATAAATAGATCACAGGCCTGAACTGACTCTGTTTAGGAACTAAGCAGAAAATGTTTAACTATAAGACACAAGTGCATTTCCCCCATCGGGCTTCGAGAAGAAGATGTGACTTTAAATTGTGAAGGAGGGGGGCAGATTTTGAAGAAAGGGGTGGGAAATGGGGACCCACTCCTGCCTTTTTACGCACCCAGAACTCCCAGAGAATGCCGGGTTGGGCAGGAAGCGCGGGATAAGGCCACAAAAGTGAGATATTTTTAAAAGTCAGAGATAAGGTTTTCCCCCCCCTTGAAAATCCTTCCTATCTCCTGGTCGACAGATTCCCTCCAAGGTTAACAGGAAAACTCAGGCACACGGTAGAGTTTGCTGATAGTAGGTTGTCTATTAGAGATGGCTCCGAATTCTGGAGCTGGCCAAAATTTTCAACAAACGTTTCGCCTCGCTCTGGCTTCCGAAACATTTCATTATTGATACAAAATGGACCCGTGCCAACAGGAGACATCGGACGGATCACTCGATAGCTACAGCCCTCTTGATCCAGGGCAGAGACTGGCAGCTGAGTCGCCTGTATCCCACATTAAGGCCGGAGCACCCAAACTTTCTGCTCTCCTGGGAGACTGTGAGTGGGTGGCTAGTGGTTTTTTCATAAAAAATAAAGGTCTTGTTTCCTGCCACATTCAAATGAAAACCAGCGTTGAAAGCTTGAACTTGAAACTTTTCGTGAGGACTGGAATTGTTGTTTCCTGTCCGGTCCAGCTGTGGAAATAAAACCCTTACAGAGTTGAAATGCTACAAGAAATACCTGAAATATTTGCAATTTCCTATCCATCTTTTTGAGGGTGGCTGGAGGAGTCTACTTTACACCATCTAGCCTGCTTAGCACGTCGTTCTGTTCCCCGCAACAGATTTTGCATGAGGACTGAAGTCTAGCTTGAGGGCCTCGTTTGAGTAAGGGCTTCAGTAGAGCTATTCCTGTTTATGCCAGCAATGAATTAGGCCCAGTGTCTGAGGCCAGGTCTATACTACAGTGGAAGGTGAAATTAACATGCAATTCCAGCCGTGTTCATTGTGTAGCTGGGCTTGACATACCTTCATTTGAGTTTCTGTGCCATCTCCACGGCAGGAGATCAACAGGAGCAAACACTCCTGTCAGCTTCCCTTACTCCTCACAAGAGCAGGAGTACGGCACATTGGCAGAGGCGCCCTCTGAGTTCAATTTAGTGAGTCTTAGCTAGACTCTCTAAATCAAACTTGAAAGATCTGTCACGGCAGCGTCGATCTTCAGCAAAGTGAATATGTGGCCTTAGTCACGAAGTGAGCGGTTGTAGCCGAGAGTGCTGAGCATACCGCACTTGCTGAAGTCCATCTTTGTAGCACCTCTAAACAGCGAGTCTTATTTATTTGCCTACCTACAGGCGTGGATGCTTTAACTTAGGCATTTGAGTCTGAACACTTTGGGGGAGATTGTCACTGGCACAAAGGGTAGTTAGGAAACAATTCTCGTGGACTTTTGGTGGGAGACGGGCACGCAAATCCCATTTTCACCTTTGAAAATCCCCCCCTTTCAGCCTTAATCTTTATTTAGAAACCTGAATAAAAGGTGCCTTGATCTGCATTGCGGTGCTTATTTGTATCTACATATGAGAACTGTGGCCTAGAGGAGGAGTAAACAGGTTAATTCTCATCCCGTTTTTTCAGTTCACTCCATCAAACATCCTCCTGCCACTTTTGTCATTTATTGTATGGACTTGGCAGTCTCAAGATGCAGAACACATTGCCCCAGACTAATTGGAAATCACAAACCCTCTGCAGGACTAGGTCTTTCTTCCCCTATCTCGGGGGCTAAGAAACAATCCTAGGTCATCAACGATAGCTGTCAGTCATCCGTACTAAGCAATCATTTCACAATTTCAGTTATAAACAGTTACCAAGGAGACCATCATTTTTAGCCTCAGTTCAGCAAAGCACATTTGAAATGAATGGGCTTTCTTGAAGTCTGGTGCTTTGTTGAATGAGGACCTCACGTCTTCAGGGACTTTTCAAAAATTTATTTTAAAGAAATTTACCCCGATGGGTGCTTTTCGTGTGAATTTATTTAAACTGTAGCTGACAAATTTATTTGAAGTCATAAAGTATTTGATCATCAGAGACAGAGAGAGAGAAAGAGAATATAAATAAGACATTGGACATACACAATCTACAATTAATTCGATATTCAATTTTACAGATAACAGTATACATATGGTTTTGCCTTTCTTCACAATCAGCTTTCACTATATCGGCTGTTGAAATACACAAATGCATAGAATGGAGAAAGTGTTGTGGGAGTGAACATAAGAATGCTCATTAGGTTGCCCTTCCAACAACATATGAAGAACAAACGTAGCGAAACCGCGCCTGACAAAACGTTGAGAAGGTATTTGGCAACAAGACATTAGGTGCAACTTTGAAAAGCGTTGCAATAAAGTTGTCACAGAGGAATCAGTAAAGAAAAACATCCGTTTAACAATGCAGAATGACCAATATTCTTGGGCTTTCTTGACCCTGTTGAAAAACAGTGGCTATTTGATAATAAATACATCTATTCACAGTTTGATGCTTATGTGGAAAGAATAAAGCTAGCAATCTACAAATTTGAAAAGGTGGATAGCAAAGTTAACAGAGGGCCCTCATAGTACAAATGAAAATACGATTATTAATAAATCATTGGCATGTGAAAAACCATTTCAATTTAGAAAAGCTAATATTAATTCAAAAATAAAACAAAAAAGTCTTACTGTGTCACTGCTTTTTTTTTCTAACCTGTTGGAAGAACAGAGAAATAGGTATGTGGTTTGCCACCGTGAATTTGTGAAGAGACCATTCATTGTTCACGTTTCTCCTGTAGAAATATAGACATTGCTGCTTCTTTTGCAATGGATGAGATCTTCATTTTTAAAAAAGCTCGAAGGGGGAGATAAGAGAGGAAGCGAGTTCTTCCTTCGGAGAATGAACTGACGACAGAAAACAAACCATGGTCTCAGCTCTGTAAAGCACAAGTCTTGGTGTTTGGTAGCGTTCTATAAAGACACAATGAGAGTTGCACTTGGACTTCTCTTAGCCAGTTGTTCTGACCCAAGTCCTTGGTCAATTGGCTTTTGCTAATCCTCTTGACACGTTTGCCCACGTCGCTATCTTACTTTCTCCTTGGAAGTCATTTTTGCCCCGGATTTGATTCTCAACAGTATGTAATGCTTAATAGCCTGAAGTCTTTTCCCCGCATTGTGGCGGGTCTTGTATCAAAACTGGGCATGATCGACTTCATCTAGCCAAGAGGCAGGGCTGGCAGGGAAGTCTGGATAGCCTCCACTGCTCCCAGTGGAGAGATCAGAACTGGGTCCGTTCCCACCCAAGACTCTCATTGGCTGGGGCACGCCTTGTCCACCCTGAACTATGATGCCCAAACCATTGTCTGGATAAACCAAGCTTGAGATTAAAGGCTGGTGGGCTGGCAATGCCTGTAGAGAAGCTGGTGACTGGGGTATCCCGTAGGGGCTGTTGGAGCGGAGGTCGTGGTACTGGTCCTGGGCGGGGATGCCACTGTGTTCCAAAGAGAAGCTCCCGTTGGTGCCAGCTTGCCTCCCCAATGCGGGAGAAGCCTCATTGAGGTTGCTGTAAATCCCATTGGAATGACTCATTTCTGACATAGACGGCTCATCTGAAAGGGAAACAGGGGCTTATTTTACTGGGAAAGCAAACTACAGTAAAACCTGTGTTATCCGGCACGCTCGGGGATTAGGGCGTTCCGGTTATCTAAAAATTCCTGTTATCTGAGGGTTCCATCGACCAATGGACAGTAACAGTGAAGCTCAAGTTTTTAATATTGGTAGTTTAGTAGTGTGAAGCAGCGGGTCTCACATTTCTATTTTAAGTTAAAGATGATTAGTACTTCTTACATAAAAAATTGTTAAGCCAATCATGGTAAACCAAGCCAGGCCTTTGTGGCTGGGGGCAATGCTGGTTAACAAAGTTTTCTGGTTAACAGGGTGCCGGATGACAAAGGTTTCACTGTAGTTGGAAACAATCTGATCAGAAATCTTGAATCATAGATAGATAGATAGATAGATAGAGGGGGTGTATGGTGATAGATAGATATTTCATATTTTTGTACAGCTTATTTATACTACGTTGTCTTGTCACTTTCTAATTCCTTATTAAAACCATTTTCTATCTAGTGATGGATCTCAATCCAGGTCTTGGGATTTTTTTTTTTATCACAGAGTCTGATTCACTTGGGCTTTTAAAACCATGTATGTAATGCAGCTTCTAAGAAATTACCTTAAAAATAATTTAAGGGAGAAGAAAGTCTAGACCCTTGATCTGCCCAAGGCTACATCTACACTGCAACACTATTTCAGGATACCGGAGTATTCTGAAATAGCTACCCTGTGTCTTAACAGCAAGCCTGTTATTTTGGGCACGCTATTCTGACATCCCTGTAAACCTCATTCCATGAGGAGTAAGGGACATTTCAGAATAGCAGGTTATTTTGAAATTTGGTGCTGTGTAGACAGCGCCAAAATACAAAATAAGCTATTTTGAAATAGCATTGAAATAAGATACACAATTTGTGTAGCTCAAATTGCGTCTCTTATTTCAAACTACAGTGCAGTGTAGATGTAGCCTAAGGTACCACAGGACAACCCATTGTTTTTAAGATGACAGGGTGATATTTCTCCTCGAAAGATGTGTGAAACTCTGAGAGCAACATCCCAAAACAAGGTGAAATAAAAATACCCCCATAATTATTCAGTGGAATAATCCTCTCTACCCTCAAAAACTGTTGAAATAAAAACACTTCCAGAACATCTCATGGGATATGAACACCCCGGAAACAAGTCAATGGGTTGAAGAGTGAATATTTGAATAAACAGTCTGATCAGTCATTCTGGACTTTTTCGCTTTTAAATCTTTGTTTATAAAGTTCCTCCGAAAAAAAAGTGTTTCTGTGATGTCAGAGGCCACTTGCCCAGACAAATGTCAAGTGAGAGTCTGTCTGGTTTCCTTGGATGGTTTCAGAGGTGATATCATGGGTATTATTTTTAAAAAATAGCTTTCCCCTTTAGTTTCTCAAATGTGATTGAGTCCAAATTGTCTCCTGCCCAGAAGAATTCTAAATCACTCACTGTAGTCGCAGTGGAGATTAAGTGACTTAGCAGAATGCAGACTCCATCATGGATTGCTCCAGTCCTTGCTGACATGCATTTGTGTTTATATTCCCACTTAAATTCACCTGTACTGGGCAGTTGTTTTCTTTGATTATTTTATGGCAGAAAATGCTGAGCCAAGCAAACAGTATTCGGAGAACAAAATGAACCTGTGATGCAAAACTAAATAGCTTTGCTTCGAAGAAGGCTGGGTGAAAAATGCACTTGGAAATTGATCGCTGTCTAAAGGGCTATCAGAAGGCCAAGCACATAGAACTCCCGCTCAAGCCTGGAATTAAACTCTTGTGGTCTCTGCAGCGTCACGATATTGCCACGCAAAACTCCTTCCTCTTACCTGTAAAGGAGACTTCAGCATCACTGTCTGGGCCTTCCTCCTGGATGCTGTCCTTGTCCGATTTTGAATTCCCCCGGGATCTTTTCATATTCCTAAAGTACTGGCCCCATCTCTGCCTCCCGGCATCTTTCTTTAGCCTTTTTTCCTTGGCCCTTCTGTTCTGGAACCACACCTGCCAAACGAAACGGAAGAGGTTACAGGAACAACTTGAGAAGTTTCTAGTTTTCTAGAAAAAAGTATCGGGGAGGAGAGGAAGGGGAAGGCTGGATGACAATTTTACTGGTTGCACCGGATAACATTTTTTTCAGCTAAAAATTGGATTCCAGTGAAATGCCTTTTTTCAATGGATAAAACTCTTCCTAGGTGGGGAAAAGGCCCAACCAGCTCTTCAAGCTATTCCTTCTGCATGGAAGAGCCACTGCACCAGAGTCCCAGTGAAGTCAAGGGAAGGCCCTGGGTGTGCCTCTGAGGACAGACCCTTTCACTAGAGAGAAGCAGCGTGCCCAGGCACAGGCCCAAAAAGGGGGGGGGGGGGGGTGAGATATTGGAAACTTTCAGAGAACTGTCATTTCAATTGGTTTTTCTTTGTCAGCGTTCGGAGTGTTGATCATTGCTTCCGCCGCTGAGTTTGCAGAATGGAGATGACTTTTGCCAGCTTTAGAACTGGCCCAGGGGAGGGGATGAATCTGCAAAAATTGTGGGGGGGTTTACCACCAAGTTTTTTGTGGAGGGGGGGGGCAGGGGGTGTTGGGTTTTTTGAACTGG